TTACTAAGACCACCTTAAATATAAAATCTAACAGCTTGGCTTTAGGCTTTAAGGCAAGTAAGCCTAGTATTTACTAAAAATAAATATCCACAGAGAAACATTTTCCAGTAGTTCTAGATCTAAGTGTAAAAAGTTATTTTATTGGTACAATTACAAACTATTAACATTCTTTATAACATGTATTTTATATTTAATTTTTAATATTTATATATTAAATTTAAACTGTCAGAGTAAATGTAATGAAACTTGACACATGCTTACTGCTTTTATCTAAGTATGAATAATTCACATAGATCTATGCTACAGCTAATTACAAAATTACAGACAATCAAAGCAAAAAAAACAGTGACAAATCAATAACTACACCTTCGAGGTTAAGGTCATTTCATAGTCAGGAGCAAAGTTAGTTTGCGGCCGTTCTCAGTTAGAATTTACACCCTTAGTTTTTACTTGTCGCCACCGTCTATCCTCATTATTATAGGTTATTTGCCTGCAAGTCTATGCTGGTTCAAGAAGGTTGATGTTACCTTAAATAACACTCAATAACTCGCCATTTGATCATGAATAATTGTTTAATAATATTCACCTAAAGTTACGAAAATGACAGGTTCGTGATTGTCGCCGACCAATTTATAGAAAGTGAACGTGTATTTAGATGCTTTAATTGTATTGTTTTCGTTTTGTTTAATGCCGTATTATTTTGGAACAATTCACGATTATAAATTTGTAAATTAGATCTCAGTAACAATAACTCATAAAATATGGTAAGGGATTAGTGTTTGTCGCCGGACAGTATGAAATGTTCGTTATCATTTTAACCATATATTGCAAGTGAAGTGTTTTTATCATTGAAACAACATTACATGTTCTTTTTTGTATTAATATCACAATATAATACTTTCATATTATCACCATGTTCATAGTGTGCACAATTTCTGTATTATTTATGTAGAATTTAACGCTGTGGGTGTGGTTTGGGTTAAAATTGAAAGGTTCGTTATCTGATTTTAAGGGTTTATGACTGCAATATGCACTCCCAGCACATGAAATGCTCCAAGATGCGTAAAAATTAGTATATTATGCCAAAAATGAAACATTTTGTAGCTGTATAAACGACATTATTGAAACTGAAATATGCTGAGAAAAGGTTCGTGATGAAAGGTTCGTGCGGTGATATATTTTACTCGATGCCGCATACACTATGTTTGTTTGTAAACGGCTGCAGTTCACAAACATATGTACTATGAAGTCATTTGGGTTGAAACGTTTCAATTATTTCCATAATGGTTGCTTATTATTCGCAGCGCATGTTATAAACATGATCGAGAATTCCCATCAAATCCTTTGGCAAGTGATTTTGATACTTTTCATGATTATTAAATTTCAAGAAATTTTTCTGTTTGCCTACTGAATCAAAAACGATGTTGCTTTTTCAAATGAAATAAAGCGAATTTATATTTTTATGATGTTTAACAATACCATGTAGGATTACAAACAAGGAAAGGTTCGTGACCATTAGTCACGAACCTTTCCTATGCTAATTTATAAGAACAAAAAAATATATCTAATCCTGTAATGTATATAATATTTTTTTTTAAGAAAAATCTTGTGAGTATATCTTGTTTATACAGAAAAAGAACATCAAAAGAATGTCTGATTTTTACAAGACATTACAATTGAAAAAGATGCATGTAAAAAAAACTACGTACTCGCCTGAAAAGCTTGTTTTATATGATAAAAACATATAAACATTATATGTGTGAGATTATAAATTCAAAATATGAAGTGAATTTAAAACAATTATATAAAGATAGATAATTATGATGAGGGAAACATGATAAAATAAACATTTAACTCAATGAAAGGTTCGTTGTCTTGGGCCACGAACCTTTCAATAAAAAAAACCCCGTCTTTTTCAAGCTAGACGAATGTAGCTTTGGAATTACTTTTAGTGCAAACAGTTATGCCAAAGTCTAAACCTGAAAACATGCGGGAATTTAATAAAGGAATAAAACTAGAAGATTCGTAAAAAATATCAAGTATATATTATTACAAGCATGAAAAAATTTGTTGCTTCTTCAATGTAGTGAAATTGTGATTAACCTTTTGAAAACTAATATTTGCGTGACATTGCAATGTCCAGTAGGTGAAGAAAAGATTATGGCTTAACCAAGGACTTCCCCTAAAAGATTATGAAGCCAAGAGAAACAAGATATTCGCGGAGGTCATTTAAATAATTGGGAGGTGACGTTACATCAAATTGGTAAATTCTTTGTTTGCTGCAAAAAAATAGTTTCAGTGAATAACGAACATTTCATTAGCGAAATTGACACCGATCCTATAATTTGATATGCTTGCGTTATATAGCTAATATTTTATACTAGCTGAATGTTCTCTTCGTAAAAATCTTATTTTTATTTGTTATAAAAGTAGAATCTAGTATACTTAAGGACAATGAAAACGCACGCCCGCACTAAATGCATTTAATTACATAAAAACAAAACACTAACGACTCCATTAGATATATATCATAACTTTAATACAAAACGCAAACTTAACAACTGAAAATTATTTAAAATGTTTAAAATCAAATGTACACCAGTAAATCGAAGAACCTAAGGTGAAAATCCCAAAATCACACTTTTTCATGACAGTAATGCAAACTTAACTAAGGCAAAAACCAAAATGAAAATCCAAAACAAAGTCACTCATAAATGTCTATTCGTTATGCCACCGTTGGGATCTTAAAAAACGACAATGTCCTCCATCAGCGTCTCTTACAGTTGACATCGTCGCCTCATAGACCTTACGGTGCGGATAGTCGCCTGTGGAATCTGACGCCATTCGCCCTGTAGTTTAGTGCGAAAACGCTGGTGAAGCCGAGAAATTGTAGACCGATGGACACCAAAACGGTTGGCGCTTTGTTTGTAAGATAGACACGACTGAATCTGTGCTAAATCTACTCAGCGATTATTTCTTTGTAGAACCATTGCGTACAATTTGCCAGCAAGTCTTCAGTAGTGTTTGAAATTTAGCACCTTTTTATAGAGGAAAAGTGTTTATATGCAATTTCTATGTGAGCTTTTACGATTTCTAAAACTGACCATTGGCATAGTTTAATATTCATTTTCATTAAGATTTTAATTGCTCATTTGTGTCTTACATTTCTAGAAAGTTGTGAAAAACAAATTAATAAATATCAGTTTAAAAATAAATAATTTCATTTCATAAAGTAACTATGAACTGGTTCAATTTGTATTCCGTTGTGATCTTATCACAATAAGCCAAAAGTGTTACTTTTGATATTTCGGGTACTGTCCTTATTATGCAATAACTTTATTAAAATGCAATCATTTTTCATAACTTTGGTATCAAAATGACCGGGATACATTCGGTTTTATAAAACTTTGAACAAATATTAAAAAGAAATATATTTTCCTTGTTTAAATGCAATTATCCCGACCGTGCGTTTTCATTGTCCTTAAGTATATTATTACCATATTGATACGTTTTCATTGGATTGAATTAGTTGTTACAGAGTTCAGAAAACATTTATAAATTGTTTTACTACAGAAGCCATTCCAATTTAATATCATTTTTGAGAAATGAAAAGATTACTATAGCTATCATTAGGTAATGAATATAATTGTATTCGAATGTCTATATCCGAACTTTATATCTGAATATAAATGTATCTATATTAGCATCAAAATTTTGATTTGACAATGAAAGGTTCGTTATTTTATATACCATATCTGAATTGAAAAAGAAAGTGAATATATGATTAAAATCTTAGCACCAGCAATGTATTTGATCTGGTAAACTGTTCTACTTCTTGATACATGTTTATCTTTTAAATTAGGTGTTGATGTTTTTATAGTTTTAGACTGATATGCTGTATTGCTATGTCTTTAGTTACTATTATCTTACATTAAATACTATTCAATGCTTTATTTTACTACAAATTTTGAAACAGTATACTATAAAGTCAAGAAAGATAATGGGTTTTATACTAAATATCATTGTCTGATGTCTATATGTATGCTTTGTGGTATTAAGTGGGCTTCTTTTTTTGTTTGCGTTTATGGTTGAAAGGTTCGTTAGCTTTACATAGTACTTAAATTTTAGCAAGGTGATCATTTACCTAATTATAAAGCATATACAACGCATACAATTGCTAGCAATGATACTACGGCTTTTATTTATAACATGAACTATACTAATTACACTGGGTTGTAGCTTTTATAATAATGAGACAAATCGTAATCACAGTAAAGCAGTACATCTTGATTTGCACTTTTTGCATATGAGTTTTTAAAAAGGTATATAAGCTTAATTAGACAAGTTATTCGTAATATCAATTGTACAATCAGAAATCTATGTAGCATGTGATATTTAAAAGTAAATTCCAATAAGATATCATCAATGTAATTATATGCAGTCCCTTTTAAAGTAAAAGGTACTTTGTCACGAACATTTCTGGCATTTTAAAAAGGTAAAATGGATACACTTTTCAAACCGCCGATTTACAAAAACTACTTATATGATGTTGAAAATAATTTCAGTATAACTTCACAGATGGTTTAAGTTTGTAAAAAGACTAACAGTTTTGCATTTTTGCTAATCTGTATTTTTTATCAAATTTTAATAGGGGTGTAAATTTTAACTGAGAATGGCCGTTGGATTTTAATATACTGGTCTTGTCCTAAAAGATATTTATTGTGTCTTAATATGAAGACAACCCATTCATAAATAACAACCTAATAGCCAGTTATATAGCAAAATAAAAGAAAAAGGTAAAATTCAATAATTTGACATTGTAGGTCAAGGTCATTTATGACTCAAGCTCAAGGCCAGTCTCGTCAATGTAATGGAATATTCCAAAGGATTGTTATGTTTAAGTATAAAAAAAAACATTGCATTTACCATAAAGCTATACTGAGTATATAGCCACTTAGGTAGCTACATTTTTGGGATATTTTAGGAGTTAAAAAGGGGCATGATTATGTCAGTTTAGAGAGTTACATAACATAACAAGTTATCATTCATTGTGATATTGCATTGATCTTTCAAGCTTCAAATTATAATTCAGACAGGACGGAAAATATTGATTCCTATATGGCTCTAACACCCACTCGCACCAAAACTATGTTTTGTGACACATTAGCGAGGGTGTTATAATAGATAACAGTTATTCGTTATCTGATTTAAACTAAAAATGTGTCAATCCTGAAAAATTAAAATGACTCACCGGTTGTAAACATTGTAGACAGATACGGAATGAAATACCATCTCTTTGAATGACGTAATGCAACTATGACGTCATTAAGATATTGATGCTGCCTGCTTATTCCGATCACGGCATTTGTAAAGCCGACAGGTTTAGTTTTATAAACAACGACGCTTGCGTTTTTGGCTCTGGCTTCAGCAGACAATTCGTCAACACTGGCATAAAAGACAAAGTAGATCTATTTTAATTTAGCGTGGTGCATTTTTTCTTTTTTTTTTGTAACTTTTAGCAATCGATATAGAGATCTAGATCTACTTGTCAGGTTTTGATATTTTTTCTGATTTTTTTTAATTAAAAATGATAGCCTACATCTTTAACCTTATTTGTGAGAACCTTACGAGTACCTGCTGAATTATTTACCTCAAAAATCAATACACGTGTTGTTAGTTTGTTTGTTTCATTTTACGCCTTTTTCCAACAGCATTTCAGTCATATAGGCGGGTAGTTTCCTAACCATCGTTTCTGGAGAGTTACACCAGTACTAGACTACCTTCCTCCGTGCTACATCTCCCGGGGATCGAACCCACGCCAGAGAGGTAACTGGATTAGAAGTCATCGACACTAACCCCTCGACCACGGAGGCGGTACACGTGTTGTAATAATGTTTTTTATAACATATAAGTTACTTATCACCTTCAGGAAAAAAGTTGATTTGCCATATTAAATACTAGACGTTACAAGGCAACAGATAGAACTAGCTAAAAGTATTTTATTGTAAAAACTGTAAAAAGGACACCGAATACATAAAACTTTTTTTAAATAAAACTATTAGCATCTGTAAGGTAGATCTATATGACCCTTTCAGGAACGTATATCTTCAGAACAATCTAACTTACTCAGAACTACAGTGAACATGGTGAATGACATTTTTCTGTTGGTATTAGAACATACGAGACAACTAACCTCCGTTTACAAACGATATCAATGTCGATGTACCAGCCACCATAGTGATGCAGCACAAGGTATCTTCCAGCATCAACACGTTTTACCCAATGATCATAGCTGTCATATATCTGCTTAAATTCCGGATACTCTTTCTCGATAAGATCATTTATCATTGTTTTATTCCATAGCGTGTACATATAGGATGAATGGTGTTTTTGGCATGTTTGTTGACTCTTCATGAATTCGTTTGGTAGAGTTGAACTCGTTTCAAAGAAAAATACCTGATGGATACGTTTTGGTATAGCCTTTTCCTCGGATATTGATAAAGGTGATGTATAAGTATTTACACACAGCACGAATTCGCAAAATAAATACAAAACTGTTTTCATCGGAACCAATATTATCAATAGGAAGACAAAAAATGAAATTAATTTCAAAACTTGCAATTTTATTATTTCAATTTGCATTTTTTAATGCAAATCTTAAATCCAAATATGAAGTTGGAAACTATTTAACAATTATTCTGAATTTTATGGTTAAAACATAAAATTGTAAGCACATTACATTTAAAGTACATCTTACACTCCCAAGTTATATGTGTCGCTCTTATTCAGTTCTCAAGTACTTTTATATCCTTATATATAATCATAAGCCATGACATTTACGTCATGAAGAGAAAAACACTTGGTTACTTGTTTTGAACACGAAACAGAAAATATACAAAAACAAACAAATAAACAACCAGTGTAAACCAAATAACACAAGATACAACAATCCTAAGATACTTCCAATACAAATTAATAAATAGAATCTTGGCAACAAACATATTTAAACTAAGATGGGGCGCACTTTTTGTAGAGAAAAAAAAAAAACGAAACTGTATAACACCTGTTCTATTATTGTCAATATTTTAGTCATTTTTGGCAGACCTTTAAAACTTTCATTAATTTTAAAACTAAATGTCCGAATATTGCAGATTACGAACTATCAAAACAAGTTCTTTTGGGGTATATTGACCCAAAGAAAATGGATGAGACTTTAAATTTCATTTTTTTAAAGATATATCTACACAGGTACAGTTACCAAATTTTCAACATACAAACTTTTCATCATACGTTAGTTTTTCGTATACTGTGGAAATGTTTAATAGACGAATTTCGTGTAAATTTTACAGTTATATATATAACTATATCCGAGTAAACGATTACCTGACTACAAGGAAATTTGCTGTCATTTATAAATCTTAAAAAAATGTATACTATTCGGAGTCGGAGAGATGTCATATGGAATGTCTCCTTATAGTCTTCTTTCAGAGTCGGAGAGATGTCATATGGAATGTCTCCTTATAGTCTTCTTTCAGAGTCGGAGAGATGTCATATGGAATGTCTCCTTATAGTCTTCTTTCAGAGTCGGAGAGATGTCATATGGAATGTCTCCTTATAGTCTTCTTTCAATGTAACGTAATAAATATATTGTTGCTCATGCGGAAAAGCTTCGGGACACCTGTTTATTATAACACATTTTACACCTCTAATGCTGATATGACTGTTTACATTTTCATTTACAAAATAGTCTGAAGTTTATGTTTACATAAATAGATTGCTACAAATCAATGAAATTAATTTGTAAACATCCTTTAAAGCAATGTTCTTAAAATAACAATTTGTAAAGATTATTTCTTCTTCTTACCCTTTAAATAATAAAATGTATGTTCTACATATATATACATATATAGATATTAAGATGGTGGAAATTTTGGCCTCTGTCACCTGTAAATAGTACTAATCGTGAAGTCTGGGGTACTCCTGACTGCTGACCACCACTGGCTGTCGAGAGTCGGGAGTGCATCTTGCACGGCCTGGGGCGCGTGTTGTCACAGAAAGACCGTATTGGAGCTTTCATGTCCCAGGTCGTGCTCTGGTTGAGTTCAGGTTTACGAAAGAGTAGGCGGAGTCACATTCGACTTAAGGAAAGTAAATACGTAAACATATGTTAAGTAAATTATATTTGTTACTCCTCTTTCTGTACAACGTTTGTATAGCTGCATTGCTCATATTCGTGGAAACTTTTTCTTTCTTGTAAATGATTTTCAGCATTTGTTTTCAAATTTAAGCCACGCTAATAACACACATAAAGATCAGTGTATTGAAATTTAAAAGTCTTGCATATGTTATCCATATCGATTGTATATGTATGTATGATTTTTCAAAAATGGGGTTCTTACGAAGCCCCCTTAGGCTAAGGTGACATTTTCCACCATTTTTTCCCTGGAACTAAATTCGTTTTTACGAAATGATAATTCGTAATAACGAAATATTAATTCGTAATTACGAAATATTAATTCGTAATAACGAACTATTATTTCGTTTCAACGAAATATTAATTCGTTTTTAGGAAATATTATTTTGTAATTACGCAATATTATTTCGTTATTACAAAAATTAATTCGTAAAAACGAAATAATAGTTCGTTATTACGAATTAATAGTAAGGGAAATTCGTGCGACATTTAACGTTAACATTGCGACATTTAACGTCAAATTGGTTTTGCGACATTTAATGGCGGTTGCGACATTTAGCGTCAATGGTGCGACATTTAGCGGCAAGTGCGACATTTAGCGGCGTTGCGACATATAACGGCGCCACAAATAGCTATTAATATGGCCTTGAAACTAAGTTCCGACTGAATATAAGCCATGTAAATGCAATTTAAATAGTGATTTTATTTCTCCCCAAGTTTTATAACTTAACACTATTGTATATAAATTAAAATAATCGCCTGCCAATAGAGTTGACGCTGTCGTATGAGTTACCATGAGATATGCAAGTACGCATGCGCGAAAATGTTATTTTCGTTTTCACACTTCCGGTATGTTTGCTACGGTAAGTAAGATTTTATCATTTCCTGGTACTTTTCCTTGTCATAAACAGTACTTTTTTGATACGTTTCCAAGCATGGATATTAAAATACCAGTATTATGAATATTTAAAAACATTTTAGACATATCGGTGGCAGACTGATTAATTGAAAACGAAAGTAGGATGCATAAATTCACAGGTATAGATACAATGGGGTTACACTATATTATATCCAAATTAAATTTTGTAGATTTAACCAAATAAACATTTCTAAATGAGGTTAATTGACATTTGTATTATAAGTATGTCTGGGCTGCATTTTCTGTTGTTAGTGTTTGATTACACCCCCCCCCCCCTTTACCATTTTCTGCATATAAAAACACAGGCTATGTCAGGTGTCATGACAATCATGATGAAAAACTAGTTAGTGTCTGTGTCACAGGTGTTAGGCGGGTTGATTGGGCACTCAGGCTTTCAAGCGGGCCCTACTTTTCCTTCTTTTCCTACTTTTCCCTACTTTTTTTGATTGACCCCTACTTTTCCCTACTTTTTTCTTGAAATGCCCTACTATCCCTACTTTTTTAAGAAAAAAGCTCGAGGATAATTGATAAAAAATCCATAAGTAGTAGATTGATTTTGATATAATCTTTATCTCAAATTTAATAAGAATCAGATGCTAGTTTAATTGTAGGAAAAAGTTGATGGAAGTAGGTCATCAGTGGTGCAAGAGGGGTTCCATGATGAGGATGGTTGGAGCTGACATGGCAGAATCAGTGACTTTAGGTGAGTTTGCTTCTATAAAAATATTACTTAGTGTTCAATTATTTTTTATGTTTCATTTCAAAATTATAATATGTTTTTGTACACAGACTAGCTTTTCAATTGTTTCATTTCAAAATTATAATATGTTTTTGTACACAGACTAGCTTTTCAATTGTTTCATTTCAAAATTATAATATGTTTTTGTACACAGACTAGCTTTTCAATTGTTTCATTTCAAAATTATAATATGTTTTTGTACACTGAGACTAGCTTTTCAATTGTTTCATTTCAAAATTATAATATGTTTTTGTACACAGACTAGCTTCTCAATTTTTTCATTTCAAAATTATAATATGTTTTTGTACACAGACTAGCTGCTCAATTGTTTCATTTCAAAATTTTAATATGCTTTTGTACACAGACTAGCTTTTCAATTGTTTCATTTCAAAATTATAATATGTTTTTGTACACAGACTAGCTTTTCAATTGTTTCATTTCAAAATTATAATATGTTTTTGTACACAGACTAGCTTCTCAATTGTTTCATTTCAAAATTATAATATGTTTTTGTACACAGACTAGCTTCTCAATTGTTTCATTTCAAAATTTTAATATGTTTTTGTACACAGACTAGCTTTTCAGTTGTTTCCCAATGATGCTTATGCTGAGGGACAATACTTGCCAACATCTTTGAGCATATATAGAATTTAGGCAATGTTTGGCATATTAGCAAGTATTGAAGTTGCTCCCTGTGATCATTTTGTCCTGAATTTTCATTGAATGAAAGATACTGGAAAAATGTAATGAGTGTTTCTTCTAAAAATATGTATTCAATTTGATAGCTTTAATATGGTGGGGGATAAGGAATCTTTATCTTATAACAGATAATTTAAGAATAACTAACTGTGTGTTTAGGCTTTCAGTGTGCCAATTATTAGTAATATAACCATTAAAGATGTGTTGCATCCAAAGTTTACTTAACAAGTTTTTTTGCTTTCTATCTTTAAATACATATATACATGTATAATATGGCATAAATACTCATCTCTACCTGGGAATTATTTGAGACCTACTTACATTTCTCTCAAGTGTCATTAAGTTTCTTTTTAAATTCCATTTTACTAACAATTTATTATTTCAGGTCCATTAATTTATAAAAATTAACTTCACAATGCTATATGGACTCACAAAATTAAACAATGCATGGTTAATGCAAAAAGATGAAAATGGACATGAACTCCATTTCTGGTGTAAAAAGGACTCTAACTCTGAATACAGTGGCTACTGTTCTCTCTGTTGCAAATCTGTCCAATGTTCAAATAATGGAGTCAAGCAACTCATGTTTAACACCTATCCTTGTTCTAGTCTGTGTTTCACATATTATGCTAGCTAAAACCATGTTTTTGCACATAACATTTTTCTTGTTTGTATTTTGTAACAACCATGCTATATTAAACAAGGTTTTAACACATTTCCTTCTTCTAGTCTGTGTACAAAAAACATGCTTACTTAATGTTTAATGTTGCTAATAGTCTGTGTTCTGACATATTCATTGTTTATTATGATAGTTTTCTGTTATTATTTGGAATTGGATCTAATAAAAAGAAATACCAATTCCAGGTTCATGTCCAGATTCATCCTGTTGTGGAATCCCTATTGAAACACTGGTGACTGGTTTCCTAAATGAAGAAACTGCCATCGATATTAGTTGATAAGGGTCTGTATTTGTTTTTGCATCAACTTTAGAAAAAAAGGTGAGTAGAGAGTCCTACTTTCCCTACTTTTACGCTCTGAAATCCCTACTTTTCCCTACTTTTTTACAAAAAAATTCCTACTGTTATCCCTA